AAACAAGTATTTTTGCTCCATCCGAAATATGACGAAAATTTTCTTAGTAAAAACTTATGCCCTACTAAAAGCGGTTTGGTGTATTATCGGAAGTGTAAACCACGGAACACGGAACATTTATATTTGCAATGGCAATCAAAATCGATTTGGTTTTTCGAAGATAATTAGTGAATTTGGGCTAAAATAAAACAATATTCAAAAATTTTATAGACTGCATCTGATATGGATTTTTGATGGTATAGATTATACTTTAGAACTAATGGCGCGCTGAGTAGAACAATAGAGATTTTACCAGGATTTTACCGAGAATCGTAATTCGAGCTGAATTAGGACATCCTGGAGTTTTAATTGGAGATGATCCAATTTTTAATGTAATAGTTACTCCTCATGCTTTCATTATAATTTTTTCTTATTATAGTACCATTAAATATTCAACATATTTTTATTGAAGAATTTGTTTCTTTAATATTAGGTGCCCAAAATATAGCTTTCCCAAGAATAAATAGTATAAATTTTCAATGCTCTGCGTTCAGAGCATTGTAATGGTTTTATGTTTAGAGGATGTATAGAACGTTCATAACATTTCACTCAAGAAGTATCCGTTACACAATATTTATTGTTCTCCTTGATTGTTTTTAGGTTGTTTGTTGAAAATTTAATTATAAAAATGTATAATATAAAAAAAAAGCCTGCCTTAAAACCAACATTTCCCCTAACCGAAATCCTTATTTCAGTCACTTTTTGTTGTAAAAATTAACACGTAAGGCTAATGAATTTTTAGTGTATAAGAAACACTTGGGAGATTAAGACACATATAATAAAATCCATTATCAAAATATAATCAAAAGTTATCATTATTGTAATTTCCTATAGAAAATTATACTGAGAAGTAAAAGTAAAGTAAAGTAGGGAAAAAAGGACTTATTATTCTAATAAGGCTTCATAAAAAACTTTGTGTTATTAAATCAATCAAAACTATGTACTCGTAAAAGGAAGCAGACATTAACTTATGTTTGCGGCACTAATTAGCGTTGCTATAATTTATCATCAAGGCAAAGTCACCCAAGCCAGGCCACAAGGAGGAACTCATTTCACTTCTAAAGGAATTTGATTTAGCACAATTTCAACAGCAACTTAACTAATTCTTTGCCGCTGCTGAAGTCATTTGGGATATAGAAATTCATTAAATATGCGTGACTCTGTTTTACCTCATACGAAGGAATGGAAGCAAATGTCCATTTTTATTTCACCATTCGTTTTTCGTTTGTATTTAATTATGATGAATCACACTTAAATTTATGCCATTGTCATTATTTGCTGGCTACTTTGTTTGCCAATAAAACAGGACAACACAAATTGTGTCCATGTGTGCCTGTACTTATGCAGGACTACGAGAACAATTTGATATACCTCAGCAAGTGAAATGAATGTATTTGAGTGCTTGAATATGGACTGGTGGCTTAGAAACTTTTACCCAAATATATTCCAATTTGCGTGGTGCCCCCCACTTAGAAGGATACAAGAAAGGCAATGAAAATCTGACAGCAAAAATGAGCTACAGCAACAGTAAAATATTTATTCTCTCATATATACATACACACATAGGTGCAGAAATACTAAACAGGACATAAAGTGCTAAACTAAAAAAGTTAGTAATATACAAGTATTGTAGAAAAAGTTAAAAGGATTGCAAATTAATTAAATCAAAAAGTTTAAGGAGAAAAGTTTAAAGAGAAAAGTTTAATGATTTTATTAAAATTATTAAACTATCTTAAACTGTAGAGCAGTGGTAATTTATTCTAACTTAATTAAAACCCACTTATGCTATATTACATTCCATTAATAACTTTATTAATAAGGATATAGTGATCTTAAATTTATTCATGAAGATTTATAAAATTTCCCTTCCATTCGGTTGATTTTTTAAACATTTCGTTTTTTAGAGAAAAAGTTTCTACTTGGAATGATCACATAGTGGTATATATGGTGACTTAATCTATCAACTATAATGAATCAGGTGGTATTCTAATATTTTGTTTGAAATCTTTCATGGAAGAGAAGACACCATTGCGAGGAATAGTTTTCCAGTATATCAATGCTATTCGACAACAACAAAATATTGAAATTTTTCCATGACCTACCCACAGTCCTGATCCTGATATTATTAAAATTGTGTAGAAAATGCTGGACGATCGGGTTGGTTGAAATATACTCCATAAGAGTGAATAGTTGATTAGTTGCGGGGGTTAATGATTTTTCACTGTTTGCTACCAAATTTCTTCGCAAGAACCCCTAGACTAAATCCAGTGAATGAGTGAAGAAAATTTTTTGGAAAAGTAGAAAAATATTTCCATTGACAAATTTCGTAATTTACTTTTATCCAATCTAAGAGGAATTGAACTCTGCATTAAAGTTAAATTTGTTAGAAAAACAAATTTTGCTAATTTTATTATAATATTGTGTAATTTTTGTGAAAAAACTTAATTTTTCAATCATAACATTTGTGATATTGCCCTTCGAAATTAGTGTATTGAGTAATGTTAAGGGGATTTTAAGCTTTTGTGCAGCACTGTACAAAAACTGTAAAATAATCATTTTGTATTCTTTCTCACTATTCGTTTACTATAACATATTATATATAAACTTTTATTTATAAACACTTATATTTAGCATTTATATTGCAAATATTTTTATTTCTATGTAATGAAGATTCTCATTTGAACTAATAAAAAACTTATAAATCGTATAATTTAAATTATTTACTTAGTATAAATTTATCTACTAAGTAAATGAAATGAAACATCTTGTATGGAAAATTATTTAAACAAACCTGATAAATTTACACGAAAATTTTACCGAATAAATTTATCGCATAAATTTATCTGTTGTTTCTACAGAGTTGCATTCGCTTAATGCAAGTGAGATATGCATCATAACTGGGAAATGATTATATTCTTTAAAGGATAAAGAGTATTAGGTTGTTAACGTTTTTTATGTATCTAATGTATCTAAAATATTAGAGGAAAATAAAAAAAATTCAAAACAAATAAAAGGATTTAAAAAAATTTTTTTTCCATTACTTTTTCACCGAATAATACTATTGAATTCCATATTTACTTGTAATTAGTATCGGGAAAATGCAGTTTCAGTGTTCCACTCATTAGGATCAAATAATACGTATTATTCAAACAAAATAAATTACATTAACAAAGGCAAATGTGAATATTTCCATGCTGTACTGGACACATGCAAAATGTACAAAACTGATTAGTGAGTTTTCATTTTAATTAGAGCATTAGCTTTTGTGATATTTGATTTTCAAATGATTCACTTTGGATTTAGTTACTCACTAATGATAGAGGTATTTACTCTGTATCAAAAAAACCTTGCTAATATCAGAAACATTACCGGACATCACATTACAACACATTTTTCCCAAATATTTCACAATTGAATGTAATTCCATCATGCAGTCATGACTTAAATTATTTAACTAAACATGGTAATTGAAAATTTGTATCAGCGAATACAATTCAGTGAAATACAATAATATTAAACAAAAAAAAACATTTAAATAGCACAAAATAGAAAATTTTGAATATAGAATTAACTACTAAAGTCGAAGGTCAAATAAAATAAAAATTTGACAATCATATAGCACTACACGGACATACGGACTTGTGAAAGTAATTACTAAGTAATGCTAGCGTTTTGAATTTAGCATTTAATTAACAATAAGCAAAAATCTATTATGTATAAAAAATAGAACATATATATAACAAACCCAATTAACACCCACTCTATCCACGCCAGACACTTTGCAAACTAAGAATGCTGTGCCTCCCAATTGGACGGTCGTGTTATGCGCCATCATCTGGAAAGAAAAGTTATTGGAAAAAAATTCAAGAAAAAGTTAAAAGTTCCAGAAAATTTTTAAAATTTAATTAATTTACATAAGTATTATTAATTAAATAAATAATAAAAAAATAAGAAAATAATTGTCGAAGGGGTTGCTTAGTTAGTCAAGTGAGTAACTAAATAGTCCTGCAAAATGGATCGAAAAGCAAAAAACTGTTAAGAAGGCGTTGTATGCATTGAATCAGGATGAATAAATAGGTGATGCGAGAAGTAACACTTTCATCAAAATTTTTTGCTATTATTTTACCTTTGATCACTACTGGATTAACAAAAACAACAGATAGGACATCACTTAGAATATCACACTGCTGTACAATGTTTATTCAGTGCGTGATTTAGTCGAATTTTGTGCTATATTTCATAAGACAGTTATTTCGTTCTTCTCTACGTTAAAAGAAAAACTATATTCGATTTAAAAAATAATAACTAATCATTTCTATTCTTAATCAATTAACTATTTTCAACTAGTAAATTAAAAAATGCTACTTAAATGCTCACATGTGTGTTTAAAAACGAGATGACAGATGAGGATTGGTTCTGCTTTGGATATGAAATCTGTAATATTTTAAAAATTGTTAAACAATGCTTAAACATTTTTAGAGCAAGCTCAGAGATAAAGGTAGGTGCTCAACACAATTCGTCTAATCAATTGTATATAATAGGATAACAGACGATCTCTACATATCAATTCTCTGCATAAGTTTAGGTCCTTCTAAACCAAGAAATTTCTGTAAAAAAATTACAGGAATCTTAATATGACACTGTAAACTAAAATACCACCTTACAAAACTGGGTATATATACGGACACAAACTGTTGATTCTGCAAAGAGAATGACGAGTCAGCCACACATGTGCTATTAGAATGCTCTGTGCTAATGCACATACGAAATAGACACCACGAATTGTATACCCTTACGGAACAGGAAATGAAATTCTGTAAAGTAGGTTCCATAGTAGTTTTTATCGATGTTAGATATTTACTCTAAACTCAGAAGGGGGCACAATAGATCCGACGGTCGCGGTGCCACATCCCAAGCAACAATAATAATAATAAATAATATAATAATAATGTGGAGTAAAATCACTTGAGTTTTAAGGATATAATGCAATTATACATATAGCACTCAAATGCCTTTTTATATAAAGAAATTTTTTTTAATGTCGAAATTGTAGTTTTCTTTGGGGAATTGTGCTTCTCCTTCCTTTTTGCAGTCGTTAAATATTATACAGATTTAAAAGAGCAGTGTCTACTTAACATATACGATTAAATAAGTTTTGAGCTGCATAATTTAATTTATATCTAAAATATTGGCTATACTCTTGTATATAATCATTATAGTCATCCTTGGTATTGTCCGATTGTTACAAGAAAAGCTTGAAATTCGAACTTACTGTAAAAATTTGTTATATTGATAATTGCATCTATGTTCTTCACAATTGCTACCAAACTATGGAGCACTGCGACCATAGTTGATCTTTTATGCTGCTGCAGACCCTAATCGAGCAGAAGACATTCCGCTCTTCGAATGAAAGCCAAAATGTTAGCCTTTGAGGAAATCCTAACGTTAGAAGAGGAAAGTAATTTTTGACCCAGTGACCTCCTCCTGGCCCAGATTAGTCACATAGAATGTGACTGAAAGTCGCGTCTGCTTTTAAGCAGAGTCGACAATCTATCTCATTTCGGATAGACCCATTTTGTTAAGGTTTACAATATTAGTTAAATATAAATAATGATTTGAAAATATTTTACTATATATAAGTTATTAAATTTAATATGAAAAATTTAAATGAATTCAATTAAAGTGAATACTTACTTCGCTATCCTCAAACATTGGACTATCACTGGAATCTAAATTGTTATCCAATTTTGAATCTGCATTTATACCGCCTCGCATCCATAGTTTCTTCCAATCACTATCAGTTAGTATTGACTTTTGATCTGCAAATGAGAAGGACAATAAAACGAATGAATCAAACGTATATAAAATAAACAATTTTGGAAATGGGAGGAATTAAAGTACAATAGGCACAAAATCAACAGGATAAAGAAACAAAAATATTATCAGAAACAATAATCAGGAGCAATTGACTGACAACGAAGGGAATTGTATTTTATCAATATTTGCAGAGCTCGAATGTTTTGCAATTGACACGCCGAAAACGACGAAATGGCTTCGATTGCAGGTGTGCCAATAAAATTGAATGTTTGCCACTTGTAAGGACAAGTGGCTGTAAAAGGTCATGACGAAGTTTACTAAAATAATTTAAGTGAAATTTAATTAAATAAATGAAGCACGAAAATAGTAAACTACAATAAGAAACGGTAAATATTTAAGATCTAAATAGAAAAAGTATTTTTAGCTAATGTGTAGAACTTCTTTAACTTATAAGATATTTAACTATAAAGAGTTTAAAACTTAAACTTAATGCTTAAAATTTAAGCTCTTAAATATAATCAGAATGAAAATCAGCTGTGCATTGTAAAAGTGCAACTTGGATATGAAATTTGATGTATATTTGATACCATGAAAATATTATTTTCAATTGTAATTGAAGCTTTAAACATTCCCTTACAGTAAAAACTTAATACCCTATCAACAGTTTGGTTTTAGGGAAAATCATGGAACTAGTGAACAGGTGAATCTATACCATATAAAATAACATTCCCATACCACAAGTAGATAATATAACGTACTTAGGTATTCACCTAGACTGGGGCCTAACTTGGCGCAAATACATTGAAGTCAAAAAGCTATAAATGAAACTCGATTCCTATAAGCTGCATTGGCTCATTAATAACAGATCTTCACTGTGCCTAGAGTAAAAAGTACTTTTGTATGGCAGCATCATAAAACATATATAGACTTACAGTACTCTGCCATTTAGTAATGTTAGTCTTTCAAATATTGATATTATCCAAAGGGCTTAGCTAAAAGTACTGAGAATAATCACTGCTGATTCATGGTTTATTAGGAATGAAAGTATTTACCGAGATCTGCAAGTTCCCTTAGTTAAAGCTGAATTTGACAGTATAAAAAAAAAAAACAATAAAAGGCTTATAGAACATGAATCTCTTAGTTAATTCCTTAGTTAAAGCTGAATTTGACAATAGAAGAAAAAAGTACAATGAAGGCTGACAGAACATGTTAACCCCTTAGATTGGAATCTATTAGTTAATTCTTTAGTTAAAGCTGAATTTGACAATAAAAGAAACAAATGCAATGAAAGGAACACAGAACATGTTAGCCCCGTAACTTACTACTTCCCGTCTAAGAGGAGCTGACTTCCTTTCCATGTGATCTAATAAAGTTCAATTGTTTTCTCAATAAACTATTTAACATTGATTCCAATAAAATTTTACCCATTCATTTAAGTAAGATCCGTCATGTAAGGTTTACTTATTATACAATGTATATTAAAAAAAAAGATTGTAATAAGCTATAATATTTTCACATTTTATTGTTAGTCTCGTTGTAAGAGAAGATGAAAAAATTATAAACAGGTTTTTCGAACAGTAGTGAACTACAACTACAAATATTCATTTTATATTATTTTAATTAATTGAATTTTTGCCTGATCAAACAACTATTTCGAGTATAAATACACATCATCAGTGGTCTAGAAAAAAATTCTTGTATTTAATTATTCATAAATATTTTTTTGTGAGACTGTACAAGGAATCGAACTTGTGCCCTGCCAATTTTGAAGCTCAGAGTCAGCACACCTTAACCAATCGACACAAAGCCGTAACTGAGTTTTATGTTCCCACATTTTTTAGGAGTATGGTTAATTTGCTGTGAAAGTTTTATAAACAAATTTAATAGCTGTATTTATATTAGAACGAAATCATAAACTAGCTGTAGCATAATTGAATTAATTAATTATATTTTTATTTTTAATTGTTAAATTTCAATACTATTCTGTTTGTAGCGACATTATATGTTGGACCTAATCTAAGAACGTAATAGTGTTAAAGTCATGCTAATGTTACTCCATAAAAAATTATATAAAAAAAATTTATAATTATTAAATCAAATAGAATTTTTTTTAAATTATATATGAAGAAACTTTTCTCTGCTTAACCTTTCGGCATTAAAAACCACACTTCTGTTTTATTTCAACAATCTTTTAATCTCGACTGTTAACGTTTACTTTAATAATTATTTTAAATGCCATTAATTATACTTATGTTATACTTTTGATAAGGATCCTATAAATAATCCTCCCCCGTTTTCAATATCATTAATAGAAAATTATCCATTAATTTAACTTCATAAAAATTAATTGCTTTTTTATGTTACTCCCACTATAAGGATTATTTTTTTTTTTTTCGTCGGCTGAAGTGAAAAAAAACTTTCGTCCCTGTTGTATTCATTTGTACTGACATGTCAAGCCCACATGTGTCCTTACTGATTTTTTCCCAATTATATTTGTGAACCCTTTTATTTATTAATATCCATTGTTTAGTGTACGAGTATTATTTCTTTCATTCACTTTCGTTATCATAATTTTCACTATTTTTATCTCTCGTCTGCCTTTTGTACTCGAGTAGGTTTTTAACAAATGAATTATCCTTTGGTCGTTCGGTGTTGAAGTAAAATAAGAAAAGACACATATCCTATTACAAAAGATTATTATTTATTGTTGTTATTTTTTTATTTATTTTTATTTATTTTTGTTATTTTTTGTTATTTTTTTTTTCGCAAACACGCATGTACGTATATTTTCTTTATTTTTGCCACAGCTTTTATCTGAAAGAATGAATGAGTGAAAAAGTGAGGAAAAAAATATAAAATAAAAATATTTTAACAATAGTGTTTTGTCTATTATTATTTTAAGTTTTTTTTTTTGTCCTTTATATGCCGTGAACAAAGTGCTTTGTCACTTTGCTGACATTGTCTCTGTGCGTTCACGGCATGTGGGTATGGGTTTGCCGGGTTTGTCGGGTTTGTCGGGTTTGTCGGTGAGTACGTGCAGAAACGGGTGTATATGTGCCTAGTGACATGTGGCCAGATAATGTCTCTGTTTCAATTTATAGCAAAAGTCAAAATTGTCCTTAATTTATGAACATTTTTGCGTAACAGCGTGTGCATTGTTTCAGTCACTTCGATGATAAACAAGCTAAGACAGCGATAAAAAATCTACGTAGGAGCGACGTGAATGGAATATGTATTCACTTAAGTGTTGAAGAAAAACTTTTCATATGATAAATACTTTTATCAAAACAGCAAGTTTTTTTTATATTTATTTTATTATTTTAAAACTTAAGTATAGTCTAGACATTTTAATTTAAATCAAATTATTGTAATTTATAAAATTTATTATTTATTAATTGGTTTAGTTATGGCTTGTTAGATGTGAGCTACTCTCATTAAATTACGATTATTAAAGAAATTTTCAGCATCATTCTCTAAAGTAATTAAGTAAGATATACAAAATGGTATATCGTCTATGCAACTTACAATAAAAGAAATATTAAAACTCAAACTAATTTTCATATTAATAATAAGTAAAATGTAACTCCAAAATGTATAATGTAACTAAAATGTAATATTTTGGGCAGTCTGATATATTATACAAAATTAAATATGAGTTATAAATTATAGTAACAATAGTGAGGGCACAGCAGAGATATACTTTCATTGATTTTTTCATAATTTTTATTTATCAATCCATGCAAAATTCTAGGCTACATTAAAGATAAATTGTATTGTTTTTAAAAATGAAATGCTCTGGAATTTATGTGTATTTCTATTGACTATAAATATATTTTGATTTCAGAAATAATTTATATAATAAACGAAATTTATGTTAGGTTAGGTTACCTTACGTTATACCAGCGATTCCTAGGGGATCCACTTAGGCCCATTTGGTTAGGTTCATATTGAAGAAAACCGGCTAAAATCTTTGGGGAAGCTTAGAATGCTAGAATGCCAAACAGAAATATTAGTCTACGGGGCATTTCAATGAGATTGCTGAATTTCCTCTTAGTGAAAAATGGGCAAATTGCATACAGATGCCTACATATCATTGAGTGTTCCAATATTTTATTGAAAAATTCAGTACAGAAAGAACTCAACAATAATTTGTATGGTATTATTCATATTCCCAAATTGCTTAGCTACTTGGAAGGAGGTCCTGAAGCATTCTTTCTGGCTATCTTAACTGCTTTGCAATTGCCGAAAATATCCTTACAAACGGGAATGCAGATAGGAAAAATATTGAGCAGCTTCGGCTGACTGATAATATGAATATATTATCATCCATTTTCGAAGAAGCTATAGCTTCACTGATAGCGATCACTTCCGCGTGAAAGACACTACAATGATCGTACAATGACTGATAATATGACTGACTGATAATATGCATATATTCCTACCAAATACATCATGCACTTTCGAAGAAGCTATAGTTTTACTGATGACAATCAATTCCACTTAAAAGACACTACAATGATCCGAAAGCCTATAGTAGGAAGATTTATTTAAAATATCTCTGAAAAAACTCCATTACTTACACCACTACTTGTTTTGGATTCGTCAGTAAAAATGGTTAAACCCTCATCCAAAGAGACCACCTGACGTCTATAAATCTTCTAGATGGGAATCCGATATTGTCGAATTTGAGAAGTTAATAATGGAAGGGGTGTCGTCAATAACAAATAAAGTCACGTGCTTTTTTTTTTTTAATTGAACCAAACAAAATGCTTTTTAGTATGTGTTTAGAAAGTTTTTCTAATTAAGAGAATAGAATGGATAATGTTTTGGAATAGAGAGCCATCAGTTGCTCACCGGCAGAAAATTTCTTAGAGTATTCTTTTCTATATCGTACAGATAGTATTGATGAAATTAATTTTGCTAAGCTTATGTTATAATAGTTAATTTAATTATAGAAAAGTAAAAATAGTTGTCAAAGAAATTTCCGGGGTAGTATCATTAC